AGTTAGTGCAAAAAGGGTATTTTACCTTGATAACGAGAGCCCTGGTGACAACCGTGGCTCGTCGTCATCTTGCGCGCGTGACTCACGGAGTGTAGCTCGGCACTTGGCGACAACGGACGTGCGTCACTATGGGCGATAATTTCGGAGCAATTGTGGAGAAAAAGTCGGCTGGGGAACTCGCCAAGCAAAATTGGAGTTTTGCGTCAGAAAATATCGGTGGACGAGGAGAGACGACACGCGAATTGCTCGAATTATGCGGGGTGAACTGTCGTCCTGCCCGACCTGAAATTCAGCGGCTTTTACTGCATGGCGGGCGCGTCATCGAATATTTCGACAGAAGTGCTCGTGGACAGACGGGACTTCACACTCGCCGACACTTACGGGCTGCAACGAAAAGCGGAGTGGCCATATCGCACTTAGCAGAAGTGGGACGCAGGCGACGAGGGAAATCGAGGCAGGTACACCTCGGAAACAACTCGTGCGACACTGCGTGCCTGGTGTTGTTGCAAGCTGGCCGGCAGTATCAAGAACAGTTTCTCCTGACCAGGGACGTTGTTTTCGGGGACAGCTGCTGACAACCCACGATTAAACGGTGTCCAAGGTATTGCCCGACAATTTCGGAGGGGTCGGTGTCAGTAGAGCTACACTGTGAGATCCCCGATCGATCCTAGGGGGGGTTACAGGCGCGATTGCCTGGGGGGTTATGGGCGCACTGACCCGCTACTGAAACAAGCCCTTTTATCCCAATGGTCTAGTGGTTGGGATTCTAACATGGTATCAGAGCGGTCTCGGGTTCGAATCCCGGTGTATGCACATGTTGGCCGTTGCCACTGTGCTTAGTCCTGGGCCTCCCAGTGTGGGGGGGTGTCAGTAGAGCTACACTGTGAGATCCCCGATCGATCCTAGGAGGGGTTACAGGCGCGATTGCCTGGGGGGTTATGGGCGCACTGACCCGCTACTGAAACAAGCCCTTTTATCCCAATGGTCTAGTGGTTGGGATTCTGACAGTCGGTACCGGCTGCCGGGACACACGGGAAGAAACGGTTCAACGGCTAAGCGAGGGTTGAAGAACGTCGGGGAGCAGATTAAAAGCCGGTGGAATCGATCTGCGGCCCTACTTCGCCCGAACCTCACCATCCCCACCAAGTTCTAGTTTTGACTCATGCAGTCAACTTGCTTGGCCGAATAACAGAGGTGAACACGTGCCTACCCTGTGCTGGTTAAAGGCGCCTGGATTGGTGCTCGTTTGACAGCTGTATAGAAAAGACAAAAAACAGTGGAGTTCGCGGCACTGTTCTACTCCGACATAAGCGGGCTGGGTGAACGGCACGCGAAAAAGTCGGGGAGCTGAGAGGATAACATTGGTGCGGTTTACAGTTTCTCCTGAACCGGGCGTCTACACGACTTGACGGCACAGCGGCGAAGCTGAGACTGGGAAGATGTGGAATTTTCGTGGCGTGATAGGCACGGCAGGGTGCAAAATGGTTGGGCGATAGTTTCCTTTTAACTAAGGCTACCCCAACTCCGATAGTTTTTGCCTCTCCACCGCGGCCGGGTTCGCGCAGGCAACAACGACAATACCCCATCCGACAAAAGCGGACGCTGGGTGAACGGCGGGAGGCGGAGTTGTCGGGGGGTGAATACGAAAAATATGACGACGGTGAGAAAGTTGTGGGTGATCCAGCAGATCACTTGAGTGAGAGGTTGAGCCCGTGCATCAATCCACCGCGAATTTCGGAGTCTATTCGGTAGACCCCCGAAAGGGTTTGATATTGTTACTTGGAGGCGCGGCGAGCAGTACATTGCCAAGGATACCTGGGATTCGCTAAGTGGCTTCGACGGGTATGAAGATGGGTGAACATCGGAGTACCAGGGTTAACGGTGGAAACGTCGAGGCTACACGGCGGAGAATGACTTCGGGACTGCTGCCTCAACCACGATTTTCGGGTTTTCTTCCATAAAAATAAAACAAGAGGCGACGAAATCGTCTTAGGGCTGCGAAGCGTTTTGCATAATTACATACCGTAATCCCCCGCATAGTACACCCTAGGGTGTACTGATAAATACCCCCCTTTTGGGGGGTGTACTCTGCGGGGGATTACGGTAAATTTGTAGAACTTACAATTTACATTATGCTGTAGTATGACACGAAGTAGTACTTCTTGTCGCTAGGCAAAGATCAAAAGCATCACACCCGAAGGAATCGATCTGGAAACCTTTCGATTCTACGTTCAATCCTATACGACTACGATAGCGCTAATGTCCATTTTTAATAGCTGATTTTAACAGACTGCTACTTTTGCGACGAATCTGAGACTACCTTAGGGTTTGTTCGTCCCTTTTTTCTCCCGCTTCTCCTTCTCGCTGGTCACGCTCTACCAGCTTCTCCACCTACTCTGACTGCAACTTAGGTAAGAAGATCCCTCAGCTCTAGCTCCAACGAAGTTAGATGCCTATTAGATAGAGTAACATTTAGTCAATCCGTATCCTTACTGTGTAAATGGATGAGTATTAGCTAGACTTAGTTGTTTAAACGTAGGTTCTAGGCCCTTTGTAAGATTTCGTTTCTTCCTGCATAAGCTTGCATCTGTTTCTTCTATTCTTCATCCTTCAACTTTCCTTTCGTCGGTTGCCTTTTCTTCATATTTGCATGTTTTAGTTCTTTTTTTTTTTTTCAACCTCGTCTTAGGTTGTACATAAAGATTGTAATAGGTTGTACGTTCAGTCCATTTCGTTCTCTCTCGCTCGTTCTCTCTCTTCCGTTTCTCTCTCTCCCGTTCTCTCTCTCCCGTTCTCTCTCTCCCGTTCTCTCTCGCTCGTTCTCTCTCTCTCCCGTTCTCTCTCTCCCGTTCTCTCTCGCTCGTTCTATCTCTCCCGTTCTCTCTCTCCCGTTCTCTCTCTATCGTTCTCTCTCTCTCGTTCTCTCTCTCGTTCTCTCTCGTTTTCTTTCTCCATCTCTTTCTCTTGTTCGTTCTCTCTCTCTTGTTCTCTCTCTCTCTCGTTCTCTCGTTCTCCCGCGTTCTCTCGTTTTCTCTCTCTCTCTCTCTCGTTCTCCCTCTCTCTCGTTCTCTCTCTCTCGTTCTCCCTCTCGCGTTCTCTCTCTCTCTCGTTCTCTCTCTCTCTCTCTCGTTCTCTTTCTCTCGTTCTCTCTCTCTCTCTCTCACTCGTTCTCTCTCTCGTTCTCTCTCTCTCGTTCTCTCTCTCTCGTTCTCTCTCTTTCGTTCTCTCTTTTTCAGTCATTCCTTTGTTTTCGTCCGTCCTCTTTTCCTATCTCGATTCCTACTTGTATCTTGTCTTCCCTTTTGTTTATTTCCACTTCTTTTTGCTGGTTTTTATTCCGCTTTCAGTTTGGTGAATCATACTTATTTCCCTCCTTCCTCCTTTTTTTTCTGTTTACTCCTTCAGTGTGATGCTTCCGTTTTCTGCTTCCTCATTATGCTTCTGTTTTCTGCTGTGTTTGATGTGCAACTTGTCGCACCTTTTTTTGCGACACTAAAATCCCTCCTCATTCGTCCCTTCTGTCCCCCCCCCTCCCCTTTTTTTTTCTATGTTGTACTCCTCAGAGGCTTTGCTGTTTTCTTGAGGCAGTCTAGTCAACTTCTGAAGTGGAAAGATAACAGTGATGACGGTGACCTGTAGGATCGTATTGTATTGGTAAATTTCATTTGCTTCTGTTTTATTGTTTGTAAAGCTTGTGCATTGAGCTTTTGTGTTTGTTTGAATGTGCATGTGTTTGTATGTGTCTGTATGTGTGTGTATGTTCATGTGTGTGCGTGGGTGTTCTCGGTGTATAAATCTCCATATCCATTGCAATAACAATGCATGTCAGTGATTTTTAAAAAGAAAGCTCAGGTCTATCATTTCACATAAGGTTCATTGGCGCACTCAGTGACTCGTGTGCGACCACTTCGAACTGGATTTGATAGAGTTGACTTCTTTTTTAGATTTCACAGATTGTGTTGTTTCATGTGATTGTTGATTATTCAAAATCTATGCTATTGACCTCCCCCCCATGCTAGGCAGGGGATGGCGGTAGCTTAGTTTTTGGGTCGTTAACTGTCACGCATTTTATTGTGTGCATGCATGTGCATCATGATTCATGACATCATACTATTAAACATAATGCATCATATAGCATTATTTATGCATCATGCATCTATTTATCATTACCACAGCACCATTTAATAGTAACACATACTAATATATAACAGTACAGCATAGTGACAAGAGTGCACTCATGAGAAGCAAATTGCTCTCGTTTTGGTTTATGAACAGAGGAAAGCAGGTAGCGTCTTGTGTTGAATGAATCTAGTAACCTTTAATAAAACGACTTACAGGAGCACTGTTCTACGCAGCGCCCCGACGCCACCAGGCAGCGCGGCCTAGCCTCAGCAGCGCCAGGACGCCTTAGGCAGCGCGAAATCGCCCCTTAGCAGCGCCCCGACGCCACCAGGCAGCGCGATCTAGCCTCAGCAGCGCCAGGACGCCTTAGGCAGCGCGAAATCGCCCCTTAGCAGCGCCCCGACGCCACCAGGCAGCGCGATCTAGCCTCAGCAGCGCCAGGACGCCTTAGGCAGCGCGAAATCGCCCCTTAGCAGCGCCCCGACGCCACCAGGCAGCGCGATCTAGCCTCAGCAGCGCCAGGACGCCTTAGGCAGCGCGAAATCGCCCCTTAGCAGCGCCCCGACGCCACCAGGCAGTGCGATCTAGCCTCAGCAGCGCCAGGACGCCTTGGGCAGCGCGGTACCCGCCCTTAGAAGCACGATCCGCCCCCTGTAGCGCGAAATCCGCCCTTAGCAGTGTGAAATCCTCGTTTAGCATCGCGAAATCTGCCCTTAGCAACGAGAAATCCGTCCTTGGCAGCGTTAAATCCGTCCTTAGCAGCGTTAAATCTGCCCTTAGCAGCGTTAAATCCGCCCTTAGCAGCGTTAAATCCGACCGAACAGCGCGTAGCAGCGTGAAACCCGCCAGTGCCCAGCAGCGTGCAAGCGCTGGTCGCCATGAACAACAACCCCGAACCCCCTGACCGAGGCCGCCCGGCGCCGCCCTGGGGAGACCCGAGGCGAACAGGGGAACTCCAGGGCGACGTGGAGGAGAGGACAGCAACCAGGGGATGGAAGCGCCCGTCGGAGTCTGGCCCCAAGAGGCTCAGAGAGACGGCACTAGACACACAACACCCACATCTCCGTATCCTACACCACAGTCAAGAGCAGTGCCTCTTAGGCACGCCCAGCAAACGCCAACGGTGCGGATCACTTCCGACGGAGGTGAGGACGGAGGCACACTCTGAAGACACTCCGGGCAGCCCCGCAGCCGGCAGCAATAATTGCCCCAATCAAGGCGCGGTGGTCACAGAAGAGGGAGAACAGGTACACGGGGAGCTTAGGCAGAGCATTGCCCCTGATGCGGCGATGGCAGCATGGGAAGCACACCGCCAGCGTTTGCAGGAGACACACGACAGGCGTCGCCATGCCCTTGGCACTTCGTTGGTGGGCTCCGCCCTCACCGAACGCGGCATCCCGACACTGCGCGGCCCACGTTTGGCCCAACGACAGGAACGGAGGCACACGCCCGGAGCCCTGCAGGAAAGACCCTGCGCGAGGCGGGCCGGAGAGGGGCTGGAGCTGCGGCCCAGAGGATAGCACGAGTGGCCGGGGGTGCAGCAGGAGCTGCAGGCGGGGGGGCAGAAGGAGCTGCAGGCGGGGGCGCAGCAGGAGCTGCAGGCGGGGGGGCAGCAGGAGCTGCAGGCGGGGGGGCAGCAGGAGCTGCAGGCGGGGGGGCAGCAGGAGCTGCAGGCGGGGGGGCAGCAGGAGCTGCAGGCGGGGGGACAGCAGGAGCTGCAGGTGGGGGGGCAGCAGGAGCCGGCCGGAGGGCGGCAGGCGCATGAGGCGATGGAGGTGGAGCAGGGGGCCGGGGAGCAGCAGGAGTTGCGTGCTGGGGGGCAGCAGAAGCTGCAGGCGGGGGGACGGCAGGAGCTGCAGTCGCGGGGACAGCAGGAGCTGCAAGAGGAGGGTCAGCAGGAGCTGCAAGCAGGGGGGCAGCAGGAGCTGCAGGCGGGGGGGCAGCAAGAGCTGCATGAGCTGGAGGTGGAGATGGAGGAGCCACAAGAGGAGGCGCGAGGGGAGCTGCCGGTAGGCGTGCAGGAGGGGAGTCAAATTGGGAATCAACCCCAGTCGCAGGAAGGGCGGCGGCAAGGGTGTCATGAGGCGAACCAGCCCTTGACTGGAAGCGTACAACAGGGGTTGCCGATGGGGGAGTCGCAGGAGTTGCAGGTGCAGGATCAGCAGGGGGTCACTAGCCCGGGCGGCACGGGCCAAGCGGAAAGGCCGCGGGCGCGGCGCCGAAGGGGGCGACGACAGGGAGGGCAGAGGGCCGGGGGCCAGCCAGGGGTGACCGGAGCATCCGAGGGAGTGATACAGCCAGGGGGGCAGCCGGGGGTGACCGGAGCACCCCTGGGAGCGCTACAGCCAGGGGGGCAGCCAGGGGTGACAGGAGCACCCCACGGAGCGCTACAGCCAGGGGGGCAGCTGGGGGCGATTGGAGCACCCCAGAGAGAGCAGCAGCCAGGGGGGCAGCCGAGGGTGACCGGAGCACCCCGGGGAGTGCTACAGCCAGGGGGGCAGCCGGGGGTGACAGGAGCACCCCACGGAGCGCTACAGCCAGGGGGGCAGCTGGGGGCGATTGGAGCACCCCAGAGAGAGCAGCAGCCAGGGGGGCAGCCGGGGGTGACCGGAGCACCCCGGGGAGTGCTACAGCCAGGGGGGCAGCCGGGGGTGACTAGAGCACCCCTGGGAGTGCTACAGCCAGGGGGGCAGCCGGGGGTGACCGGATCACCCCTGGGAGTGCTACAGCCAGGGGGGCAGCCGGGGGTGACAGGAGTACCCCACGGAGCGCTACAGCCAGGGGAGCAGCTGGGGGCGATTGGAGCACGCCAGAGAGAGCAGCAGCCAAGGGGGCAGCCGGGGGTGACCGGAGCACCCCGGGGAGTGCTACAGCCAGGGGGACAGCCGGGGGTGACCGGAGCACCCCAGGGAGCGCTACAGCCAGGGGAGCAGCTGGGGGTGACCGGAGCACCCCTGGGAGTGCTACAGCCAGGGGGGCAGCCGGGGGTGACCGGAGCACCCCAGGGAGCGCTACAGCTAGGGGAGCAGCTGGGGGTGACCGGAGCACCCCTGGGAGTGCTACAGCCAGGGGGGCAGCCGGGGGTGACCGGAGCACCGCAGGGAGCGCTACAGCCAGGGGAGCAGCTGGGGGTGACCGGAGCACCCTTGGGAGTGCTACAGCCAGGGGGGCAGCCGGGGGTGACCGGAGCACCCCACGGAGCGCTACAGCCAGGGGAGCAGCTGGGGGTGACCGGAGCACCCCTGGGAGTGCTACAGCCAGGGGGGCAGCCGGGGGTGACAGGAGCACCCCAGGGAGCGCTACAGCTAGGGGAGCAGCTGGGGGTGACCGGAGCACCCCTGGGAGTGCTACAGCCAGGGGGGCAGCCGGGGGTGACAGGAGCACATCAGGGAGCGCCTTGGCCAGGGGAGCAGCTGGGGGCGATTGGAGCACCCCAGAGAGAGCAGCAGCCAGAGGGGCAGCCGGGGGTGACCGGAGCACCCCTGGGAGCTCTACAGCCAGGGGGGGAGCCGGGGGTGTCCGGAGCACCCCAGGGAGCGCTACAGCTAGGGGAGCAGCTGGGGGTGACCGGAGCACCCCTGGGAGTGCTACAGCCAGGGGGGCAGCCGGGGGTGACCGGAGCACTGCAGGGAGCGCTACAGCCAGGGGAGCAGCTGGGGGTGACCGGAGCACCCTTGGGAGTGCTACAGCCAGGGGGGGCAGCCGGGGGTGACCGGAGCACCGCAGGGAGCGCTACAGCCAGGGGAGCAGCTGGGGGTGACCGGAGCACCCCTGGGAGTGCTACAGCCAGGGGGGCAGCCGGGGGTGACAGGAGCACACCAGGGAGCGCTACAGCCAAGGGAGCAGCTGGGGGCGATTGGAGCACCCCAGAGAGAGCAGCAGCCAGGGGGGCAGCCGGGGGTGACTGGAGCACCCCTGGGAGTGCAACAGCCAGGGGGGCAGCCGGGGGTGACCGGAGCACCCCTGGGAGTGCTACAGCCAGGGGGGCAGCCGGGGGCGACCGGAGCACCCCAGGGAGCGCTACAGCTAGGGGAGCAGCTGGGGGTGACAGGAGCACCCCTGGGAATGCTACAGCCAGGGGGGCAGCCGGGGGTGACTGGAGCACCCCGGGGAGTGCTACAGCCAGGGGGGCAGCCGGGGGTGACAGGAGCACATCAGGAAGCGCTACAGCCAGGGGAGCAGCTGGGGGCGATTGGAGCACCCCAGAGAGAGCAGCAGCCAGGGGGGCAGCCGGGGGTGACCGGAGCACCCCTGGGAGTGCTACAGCCAGGGGGGCGGCCGGGGGTGACCGGAGCACCCCGGGGAGTGCTACGGCCAGGGGGGCAGCCGGGGGTGACTGGAGCACCCCTGGGAGTGCTACAGCCAGGGGGGCAGCCGGGGGTGACCGGAGCACCCCTGGGAGTGCTACAGCCAGGGGGGCAGCCGGGGGTGATTGGAGCACCCCTGGGAGTGCTACAGCCATGGGGGCAGCCGGGGGTGACAGGAGCACACCAGGGAGCGCTACAGCCAAGGGAGCAGCTGGGGGCGATCGGAGCACCCCAGAGAGAGCAGCAGCCAGGGGGGCAGCTGGGGGTGACTGGAGCACCCCTGGGAGTGCAACAGCCAGGGGGGCAGCCGGGGGTGACCGGAGCACCCCTGGGAGTGCTACAGCCAGGGGGGCAGCCGTGGGTGACCGGAGCACCCCAGGGAGCGCTACAGCTAGGGGAGCAGCTGGGGGCGACAGGAGCACCCCTGGGAATGCTACAGCCAGGGGGGCAGCCGGTGGTGATCGGAGCACCCCAGAGAACACGGCAGCCTGGGGGGCAGCCGGGAGCGACCGGAGCACCCCAGAGAACACAGCAGCCTGGGGGGCGGCCGGGAGTGACCGGAGCACCCGAGGGAGAGCAGCAGCCAGGGGGGCAGCCGGGGGTGACCAAAGCACCCCACGGAGTGCTACAGCCAGGGGGGCAGCCGGGGGTGACCGGAGCACCCCAGGGAGTGTTACAGCCAGGGGGGCAGCCGGGGGTGACCGGAGCACCCCTGGGAGTGCTACAGCCAGGGGAGCAGCTGGGGGTGACCGGAGCACCCCTGGGAGTGCTACAGGCAGGGGGGCAGCCGGGGGTGACCGGAGCACCCCAAGGAGTGCTACAGCCAGGGGGGCAGCCGGGGGTGACCGGAGCACCCCTGGGAGTGCTACAGCCAGGGGGGCAGTCGGGGGTGACAGGAGCACCCCAGGGAGCGCTACAGCCAGGGGAGCAACTGGGGGCGATTGGAGCACCCCAGAGAGAGCAGCAGCCAGGGGGGCAGCCGGGGGTGACCGGAGCACCCGTGGGAGTGCTACAGACAGGGGGGCAGACGGGGGTGACTGGAGAACCCCAGGGAGTGCTACAGCCAGGGGGGCAGCCGGGGGCGACCGGAGCACCCCTGGGAGTGCTACAGCCAGGGGGGCAGCCGGGGGTGACCGGAGCACCCCAGATAGAGCAGCAGCCAGGGGGGCAGTCATTGGACGACCGGGAGCAGCAGTTGGAGGAGTGGTGCCGACTTTTGGAGTTTGATACCCCCATGGCGACTGCGGAGGAGTCAGAGGCGGACAAAGAACCTCCCATGCAGCCTTCCCCATGCCCTCGTTTTCCGTGTGACACGTGTTTTCACACGTTCGCTACGCGAGGGGCTGCTGCGAGCCACATGAGGGTATGCCGGGCGGCTGAGGCGGAGAGGCGCGCGCAGGCACTTGGCTCGACCCCGTCACTGGTGGAGACCGACACGCAGGAGCGACCGACGCCGCGGGAATTTGGGGACGAGGCGTGGGCCGGGGTTACGTCTTGGGAATGGGAAGCATTTTTCAGTGTGGAGGCGGTTGGAGGGAGGACAGTGCGCCGGATCCCACAGCGGGCTCGGTCGGGGGTCTTAGACGCGCTCTGTTGCGTCTCAAAGCGTTTGAAGAGCCGGCCGGGGGATGAAGCCGCTACCCTACTACTCTTGGCTTTTCCGCGCCTCATCCTAGCCGTGCCTCCCAAGCCAGGCATAGGACAGAAGGCGCTGATCATAGAGCGGTTGGGGGCGTTTTGGGAGGGGAGGTGGCGGGAGCTGTTCGACTCCGCCATGGTGGCGGCGCGGCCAGCAGTACGCCCACTTGCCTACACTTGCTCTGACCAGGACCCGGATGCCATCCGCCTGTCACGGTGCCGATCTCGGTGTAAAGTGGGAGAGTGGAGCCGCGGATTGGCTTGCCTTACGGCAGGGGAGTTGGCCCGGCCGTCTGAGGCCATGGTGCAGTCGCTGCGAGAGAAGCACCCTGCTAGCACTAGCGAGGTACCACAGTGGGTCCGTGATTTCACCGTCAATGCTCCTCAGCGGCCTCCACTCACGGCCGACATCCTGGCCAGAACTATCCATACAGCCGCTCGCGCTTCAGCAGCAGGGCCATCGGGGTGGGTCACGGAGCATCTGCGCGACACCTTCCTCACTGAACCTTCCTGCCTTTCCCACCTGTTGGAGGTGTTCAACCAATGGGTGGCGGGACAGGTCCCCGAGCGGGCTCGGCCCTGGCTCGCCGCATCCAACCTAGTTGGGCTTTCCAAGCCTAACGGCGACGTCCGGCCGGTCGCGATTGGGGAAGTGCTTCCGCGTATCCTTGCTCGAGCTCTCTGCATCTCGCTCCGCCCTGCGATGGCTTCCTACTTTCTGCTGTGCAACCAGCTGGGAGCGGGCACCAAGGCCGGGGTAGAGATTCTTACCCATTCTTTCCGGTCAGCGCTGGCTACTCATCCCGACTGGTGTGCGCTGCAGATAGATGTCGCGAACGCTTTCAATTCGTTTCACCGTCATGCGATGTTTGAGGGGCTGCGGGAGTCGCCTTTCTCAGGGTTGATCCCATTCTTACGTGTTTTCTACGGGACACCTAGCGATCTGTACCTCCGAGCGGGCCCTTTTGTACAGAGCCTTGAGTCGGCACGAGGATCGCGGCAGGGGGACCCGCTCGGCCCTTTTCTTTTCGCGTTCACGCAGCAGCAGGTGATGGAGTCGGTGACTAGAGAGTTCAGGGACCTACTTTTCCTGAGCTACGCAGACGATACCTATATCCTGGGACCGGCGGCTAGGATTCTAGAGTGCTGCGGGAGCGGTTGGAATGGGTGGGGCTGGAGGTGCAGGCGCACAAGTGCCGGTTTTGGGAGCGCGAGGGCGGGGATGTGGAGCTGGCATTGCCATTGGGGATGCAGCGGGTGGAGGAGGGTCTCACTGTGGTGGGTGTGCCTATTGGGGAGGAGGGTTGGGAGGTGACCCGGTTACGGGAGCGGCTTAGACAGTTGCAGGCGCCATTGCCATGGCTCCCCCTGCTCGACCACCCCCAGATGGCTTCACATCTCCTCGCCATTGCAGTTTCAGCACGGCCGATGTACCTGGCCCGGACTATGCCGCCGCGTCCGGAGGTGGTGGAGGCCTTCAGGGATTGGGATAGCTGTCTGGAGGATTGCTTTGAGCAGCTTTTCCCACCTGGCACTTGGGAGCATGACCCCGACCGGTCTAGGCGCGCGCGCATGCAGCTGCATCTCCCTGTGCGACTCGGAGGGTTTGGGATCCGGGCAGCAGCCTCTTTGAGTCCGCTGTCCTATGTTTGTGGATGGGCACAGGCCGCGCGTGATATTGCACAGTTGGGGGTGGCGGGCGAGGAGGCGATGTTTGCAGAGTACCTCACCACTTCGGCAGGGGCGGAGTTTCTTGACCCGTGGTTTGCCAAGGCTCTTGAGCAGCTGCCTGCGACTATACGCCAGGAGATGCCGGGCTTACCTCTGTGCGTAGCGGCCCCTCCTCTTCGGCTTTTCCAGGCGCGGCAGCGGTTGTTGGCGGTAGAGGAGCTCCAGACACTGCGTCGCTCGGCTCGTGACGATGCCACCCTGGCCCGTTTCACATCCCTTCAGGGCCCGGGGGCTGGTGCATGGGTTTCGGCGGTTCCGGCTCACTCAGATCTCACATTCACTGCGGCGGAGTGGGGCATTGCTGCTGCTGCTATACGGCTCGGGCTCCCAATTCAGCAGCTGCAGGTGGCGGGGAGGTGTGTTTGTGGCACAGCATATGTTGACTCAGCAGACCCGCATCATGCCCTGAGATGCAAGCACCAGCATGGTCCATCTCGGGTACATGATGAGGTGAAGTTTGCGGTGGCGAAGATCTCTAAGGCGTCTGGGGGGGTGGTGACAATGGAGGATAGTGTGGTGCTGCAGGGGAAGCGGGTTGATCTGGCGGTGCGACGACCAATGGCTGGAGAGGCTCACGCCCTGGAGATCAGCGTCGCGGACCCGCTATCGCTGTCTCCATCTTTGCTAGGACAGTGCGGGCGTCAAATAGGCGTGGCGGCAAGAGAATGGGAGCGTCGTAAAACGAGCGATTACGCGCCTCTGCTTGCACGCAACCGGGGCGTGCAGTTCACTCCTCTGATAGTGGAGACGTGGGGGTGTCTCGGCGGTCGCTTTCGGAGGTGGCTTCGTCAGCAGGGAGATGCGCACGTGGGGCTAGCTGTGTCGCGGGGGGCTTGTCGGGAGGACGACACTGTGTTTTCGGCTTATCTTCTAGGGTCACTGAAGGCGCTCATCGGGGTGGCGTTGCAACGTGCGCAAGCCCGTGTCATCCTGCTTCGAGCGGCGTCTTCTATGGGGGGGATTAACGTTGACTTGGTGGACCGGGAGTGGGACGATGGCGATGCGGAAGGCGGGGCTCTCTGGGTGGAGGCCCCGTACATGGTGGATTCGCTGTTGTGATTGGGGGGGGGGGGGGGGGGGGGAAATGGGGTGTGGGATGGGATGTCTTGACAGGGTGTCTTGACTGGGCGTTTTGATTGGGTATCTTGAGGGGGGGTTTTATGTGTGTTGCATTTGGGTTCTTCTTGGCGGTTTCACTTTCCTTCTCCCTTTCTCTTTTCTTTTCTTTTCTTCGTCAAAAGTATTTATACAACATTCTCACCCTGTGCTAGTAGAGTACAGTACAACTGTTCTACAGTACAGCATATATTCACCAAACCACTGACCAGAAAAACATATGGTTTAATATATTGTGAACAACATTTAAAATTCTTCAACATGCACACGGTGTGGGAAGGGTACTGTAGTTTACGGATTTTATTTTCATGTTCTATTAAAAATGATAAACATGAAAATAAAATCTGGCAAAATCGATCGTAAAGGGTTGCTTCGCAACCCAAAAAAAACAAAGAGGGTATTTCATCCGAATACTTCAACTGGCAGACGCGGACGCTGGGTGAACGGTGGTGCGCGATACTGTCGGGGAGTCGAAAACCCACAAACAAATATGGGAGTAAGCGGATTTACCTGCCGGCGACGAGCGATGGGTGAAGCATCTGCAAAGCGCCAGTGGGAGTTCCGTGGGTTTTTGTTAAGCTACATCAGTGGAAGCAGCCTCGACGACGGAGTCAACGGCGTTGATGCCACTAGGTTCCGTGAAATTTGGTCTCGGAATACCCAGGGACAGTCTCTGGTTCTCGATTGAACTCACATGCTGGGGTCGGGCAACCGACGGAAACTGATGGTGACCGAGTGGGCGGCTACAGAACGTCCAAGATTTTCGGAGGAGAACTGCACCTGGAACTGCGGATTTACGGGGTTGTTTTCGACCGACATTTTCGGAGTTTTACGTGGGGACTTACAGGCTTTACGGCGAGAAGCGCCAACATTTACGTGGGGCGACAACGCGGGAACTACACGGAGTTTTCAAGGGGTACGAACGACTTACGACGAACTGAAGAAGGCGGCAGAAACAGTGAAGGGGGGGGGGGGGGGGAGAGACAGCTGGAATTTTTCATCCCTGCCCAGGAGCCCTCGGCGCATTACGACAAATTGTTCAGCGAGTCTGGACAAACTACCAGAAGAAGCTGACGTCATCGGACACTGAGAACGGGCTCGACATTTTGAAGTAAAGAGGTTTTCGACATAGTTACTTCCGGATCAATTTTCGCCGTTTTATGTATTCACGTTCGCTGCCAATCATATTCATCGCCGACGTTTTCGCAAAACCTGATGTCACGGCCAGAGGATTTCAGGACGAGCCATCCAACTCTACTAGTGACAACTCGCCCCACTCGACCCGCCCACGACAACTGCATTGATTCTCAGCCACGTCAGGTACTGCCAGCAGCAAGTGCTGAAGACATCGCCTGATTTCCGGCGATGTGTGGACAATTTACCTTCAGTTCGAGTACTCGGCAATTTTCATTTCGGTTCCTGGTCTACTTCTCCGGGTTCGCCATCGAAGATTTTATGGGCACTTCACACCTTGTTTCGTCATCGTTTTCCTACACCTACGCCTTTTCGCCTGGACCTGAACGCTCAACGCTTGTTTAAGTGCGACTTAACACCTGGGTCTCTTGTGTGGTTTTTCATCTCGGCGCAACTGCGGGACTTTTCTGCTGTGTTTTCTTGGAGGCGGGGGGGCGGGGGGGGGGGAGAAGTGCGCTCTACTGTTTTCTTTCCTTGGCGTTTCTGACTTTGTCAGGATGCAGCAGCACGACGGACGACTGCGATCGCTTCATCGATATCGACGGTCCCTGTTACATCGCGACAGATCGCCGCATCAGCAGGTTCCCCCACATTCGCGTCATCGTCGACCGTCAGATTGAGTTCAAAGTGCATCGACGGCTTCAGTTCCAACTTTCAGTTCGATTTGGTCAAATCATCTACGACCGTCAGATCAAATTCGAATTCGATCGATGGTCCACATTCCAACCTTCTCTTCAAATTCGCCCAAGGCATTTCAGCCGTCGAAAAGAATATCGGCAGTGTCCTTGCTAGTGTGGGATTCGGCTAAGTACAAGACGGCCTTATTTAGAAGGTGGGAGAGTGTAAGGAATTGTAATTCCTTACAGTACTCGCACTTCAGCGAGTACATCCCGAGGGTCACGCGACGAACCTGTTCTGCCTAATTCGTCGGCCGAACCACTCCCGATTCGGCCTCCGCCTCAATCGCAACCATCACCGAGCCATCCTCGCCCTACCTCTTCGCCTAGCTAGCTCTTCCCCCTATTTAGGCGTGCCATTCTCATTGTATCGTCATTCAGTAGTCAACCATTCTCGTTATTCGTTTTACTGCGCACTCTGCAAGTTCATTCATAACATCAGGGATAACTGGGTGCAAACCAAGTCATGATACCTCTAAAACTGGTTCCGCACTTGTACCAATACCATACTGCAAACAGTATCCCTCCAGCCTGGGACTTTTTCTCATTGCAGTATAAACCACCAGCAATAGGATAAGAGATAGTTAACATCGAACATGTATACGTCCAGTATTTATCGTCAATAGCCAGGTGTTAGGTAACGTTAATTACTGCCACATTCAGAAAGTATTCACACTGCAGCTCGCGCCACATGAGTACACTCCAGCTACCAGCATCAACCATCCCAAGTCCCTTCACCTGCCAACAATGAAAGGATGTGACAGTGCTTGAGCCACAGTGAGCCGCTTGTCTGGATCCAGGCAGAAGATCTTATCTAGCAGGTCACGAAAAGCGGCGAGAGAACGGGCATCATCGTCTGAAGAGCCGGCCAAGAGAGTGCCTATGTCCTTGGGCTTCACATTGGCCATCACTCGCCTCATAGGCTGCAACAAATGTATCCATGCATGGGTTGGGAAGGAAGAGGAAGGGGAAGGAGAAGAGGCGTAGAAAGAAGGGGCAGAAAAAAAGGGGGAGAAAGGAAGGAAACGTACCGTCGGAAAGATTGGCAGGGGTATACGGGAGGGCAACGGAGAGCACGAGCAAAAGTAACAAGTGTCAGTGTGGTCAGGAGAGGCAGCTAACTCTGCATCAAGGTCTAGATTCGTTTATACCGTAAAATGCCGTATCCTGTGATAGGCTCCTGCTGGGCATTTTAGGAGCAACGGCAAAAATACGACCGTATTGGCCCTAACCTTGCTCTGCAGCATGCACTACAACACTGGGAAGTCAGGAGGCACAAGCAATGAGGCAGGAGCGGCTGACCTTCTTGGTGACAGGGTCCTCTTCGATTGCACAGAAGTTGAAATCCGCATCAAAGTGCTGCTCCAGGAATGCAGCCTGGAACACGGCAAGACAGACACACAGCCAGCCACAGCCATAGCCACAGCGACAGCAACGGCAAAGCAGCAGACATGGGCGAAAGGCGGGCAAAGCATAGGGAAGAAGGGAGATAGCAAGCAGTGAGTGAGAGAAAGATGGAGGAAAGAGGGAGCCTTGCTGTGGCCAAACATGCATTGGAGGTTGAACAGCGCAAAGCAACCTTTCCGACACATACGCGCATCTCACAGCACCTTAGTGCACACCTTTTTAAGGAGCTTCTTGGGGAAGGTGCCCTTGAGTTCAATGTGGAGGCGGATCATGTCGTTGTTGGTGCGGCCAGGAAAGAGCATCTTGCCCGAATAAAGCTCGTACAGGCAGCACCCCACTGACCACATGTCCAGCGGGTGGTCGTATGGCAGGCCCAGCACTGATGAGCGGGGGGGGGAGGGAGAGAGGGATGGGGGGAAAGGAGAGAGGGAGAGGGGGAGAGTGGGGACAGGGACAGGGGGAGAGAGGGGAAGGAGAGATGGAGATAGGGGAGGACGAGGATCGCAGGAGAAAGGGGAGAGCGGGAAGACAGAAAAGAGGGGGTGGCAGAACAGGGAGAGAAAGGGGAGACGCATGTATATGAGAAGAGAGGCACCATAGAGGCAGTCTGGCGGTGCTGTGACAGGTTACCACGTGCAGCATGCCGTCGTGGCTAGCAGAATGAGACAGGAAACACAAGCCATGAAGACAGGGACATCTGAATCAGGACAACGAGGAGTGCAGCAGAAACAGGCAGCGAAATGCTTTGTGGAGGGAGTGGAGAGGAGAAGGGCGGACGAGGAAGAGGAAGAGGAGAGGCATACTGATCTCTGGGGCTCGGTAGAAGCGGCTGACGAGGTATGGCGTGATCTCATTGTCCCCTGAGAACATGGCCGACCCAAAGTCAGCGAGCTTGAGCACGTTCTTGCTCTCGTTCACCTGCATGAACACACGCCGCCCGCACACATGGCATGGCATGCACACGCCGTGTTGAGGACACACACGTTGACATAGGGAGGAGGACAGGGATAGGCTGAACCATGTGCCGTGGAATGAATTTGCATAGTATGATAGTACGATATGCGAGCCGCTGACATGGAAAGAGATTCGGAAAGAAGGGAGGGCGGGGTGTGTGGGGGGGCGGAGGGGGGAGGGAGGAGAGAATGGGCACATGCCAGTTTGATGCACCGTAAGAAAAGACACACCACCACCCTCACACGACACACCCACCACACCCAGACCAGACGCGACGCTACTCACGAGCATATTATCAGGCTTGATGTCGCGGTGCAGGATCCCGCAGTTGCGCAGGTGCTTCAACGCACATATCACATATCACCACACCGCACCACACCCAGACGCGACACTACTCACGAGCATATTATCAGGCTTGATGTCGCAGTGTAGAATCCCGCAGTTGCGCAGGTGCTTGAGCGCGAGGAACAGCTGAGTAGCATACGCCCTCACAGCACTGAGGTTGATGCCGATGTTGCGGCCAAACTTCTTGAGCACCTCGCGCAGGTTCATGTGCATGTTCTCAAACACCAGGCAGAGGTGCCCGCGGTACTGGAAGGACGAGATGAGGCGGATGCAGTGCCGCCGGTCGTCCGGGTCTGCCCCGGCGATCTTGCGCAGGATTACCAGCTCCTGCTGCCCTGCCTTGAACCTGGTGGGGGAGGCAAGGCA